TTATTACACACACACACACACACACACACACACACACACACACACACACACACACATGTTCAGAGACGAATCTGAAAAATGGAGACCATAGTTGTATTTGATATTGTTTGTCGGTACGAGTATAAAAAGGAGATTGCTGATCATTTTATACCACTCTAAATGTAATGTGTGGGACTTATTTGACCATTCGGTAACTCCTCTATGAGTGCTTCTCAGTAGCACTTAGCTGTTGGACTTCATTCGAGAGAAAAATGTATATGAATTTGTGTGTGTGTCTTAATTTGCAAGCTTCGCGGGTCAAATTCTACTACATGTTTTGTGCTATCACATACGTTCACCGAGTCCCTCAAGTTTTCTCCGTTCAAAAATCATTTTCTATAGACAGTTTATGCACCGAATAATAACGGCATTGATGCCAGAACACCGAGCAGTGAGTGCCACGATAAGCTGATTCCATGCATATTAACTGTGAATCCAACAAGTGCTCTCAAGATGCTTTCTCTTTTGTGAACAGTAACGAAATGTAAATTATCATCCGATAATCAATTTGCTGCGTTGTTGCGTCGGATCGCCTGAGTGTGGGCGGGTCTACTCTCACTGGCTATCACATTGTGTGGGTTGAGTTTCCTCTGAACACTTTGCATGATATAAAATCCCCGTTCGCCACACCTTGGATCACTAATCCGTGTGCGGTGGGATCAAAATGTTACTTCGTTTATTGTGGATCACGATTTTCTTGTTCGGTAAGACGAAAGGATATACAGATAATGTTGGAGGGAGAGAGCGATTGACTGGTATTTTGAGGGTAACAGTACTAAGTAGCTTCATAGTTCACTACTGATATACAATGAGTAGTTCAACCGTGAATATATGAAAGAAGCAACGTATGCAACGAATGCATGAATTGATCCATCCTATCGTAACAATACAATACTGATCCACTCTGATATTTCTTGAATTCTCAAAATACAGCTTTGGTCAACGCGGAAGGTACGTTTTAATGCCTTATACGACATAGTTAGTGTGTATATGATCTATTATCAACCGNAACGAGGGTAGGGATGGAGATTGACTAATGTGTGTTGCACAGAAAGGTTGAGATGAGTTCCAAATTAGCACCATATTATTTTGATCAGATGGGTATTGTATTACCAAATCCATGAGGAACAAGCATTTTACAATGAACTGACGCATATGTTGTGCGTGTGATCCTGAAAGCAGTAATACGATACATTAGACTTTATTCTACTTCTGTGAATAATCAATTGTTAGGTACTGTTCAATTTAAATTATTTCATTGCCCCTTTATGAGTGAATCATACGAAAATATCTATTTTAGTTATATTTATATTATTGGTATGTATATGTGTGCAATATGTGATTGACTCGTGTGTGTGTGTGTGTGTGTGTGTGTGTGTAGAGGGAGTGAAATCACCGGAACTATATTGTTTGCTCTGTTCCCCGAAAACAGGGTTCCATTTCAAAGGCACCGTTGGAACACCTCTGAGTGGTGTGAGCTGTAACCCGGCGACATCCGATTGCGCCAAATTCAAACTACGTCTATGTGAAGTTGTAAGTTTGATGTTGTTTGCCAAGTGAGGAGTGTCCAAATATGTTGGTTTGTGAAATGCCGAATCGACCTGGATGAGGCATATTCCAGAGTTCTATTCCATTAGGAATAACAGCTTACTGAAATCGTAATGGATTCAACATCGATCGAATGCACACTGAAGTAGCTTTTTATCAGAAAAAATGCATCTAAATCTATGTCGAATTTAAAAAATAAAAAAGACAAATAAAAACAATTAATGCACATAGTTGGTAATTTCATGCATGGAGAACACTAGCTTGAGATGACCATCGATATGTAAGCGAGAGAATGAGCAAAAATCAACTAGGGATGCCATAGGTAATGATTACTTGGGAATGAGTTTCTCTGAGTTCACTAGTGAGCCTCACCGTGTGATACAAAATGTTTGCCATCCCACATGAAGACGAACAGATCCAATTCTATCCTCACGTGTTTTTTTTTACAACAGATCAGAAAAGAAATTCACCCGTTGGAATATGAGCAACTATTTGATTGCGTGGTGACACTTACGGCTCATGAAACGCAATCACATTTGCTCAACTTTGATATGGATCTCACACTGGAGACAGCCGTACAAGATGCACTTAAATTTCAACCCAGCTGTAGGACTTTCTACTGGGCTCTGCATCAAGCCTTTGTCCAATTACGCAATGATCTAACTGTCAACATCGAGATCACCGAAGTTGTTTGTAAGTGTTAAACATATCAAACATCTACCTTTTTCCGGCTCGGAAGATTTAAAATGCATTTAGAGNCATTTAGAGTTGACGAAAAATTCAATATTCCTTTTACTTACTTGTTACACTGTTGTGAAACTCACTGAATTACAAGTTGCCAGACTAAATTGAAAAACGAAATATTCCGCGATCCGTTGACCTCATTCGAATACTGGTTACAGCCCAGAATATGATTATGAGAAGTGGGTTTTCGAACCTGTTGTTCACCATCGAAACTTGGACTCTGATGCGAATAGCCAACAGATATCGGTGTACGTGCTGGGGAATCTAACTAACAGAAACCATCGATGAAATCCTACCGTGTGCTGAATCGCACCATGCGCTATTGAAAAATAACGGTTCACCTCACAACACTACTCGCAAGTAGTTGGAAATAAAAGCCTAAAATATGAAGGCGTGATGAAATTCAAATTAATAGCCAATGAAGCGTGAACTGAATCCATCGACCCAGCTATCTTATAAGTATTGGTCCTCACCCAACTCAGCTCTAGCCTCCGGGGGATTTTGACTCGTTTGGAAACTTTCACAACCTCACTAGTTGTCACGTCAATTTTCGTAGTTTGGTGTTTTTATTAACCCGGATAATTTTCAAATCACACATTTTAATTGCAGCTCCAATCGCAACCAAAAGTGAGTTCATTTCGATCCCAAGTTTCTTCATGTAGTTAGTTCTAATCGTGATTTGTTCGTGTGTCTTTTATTGTGGTTAGTGTAAAAATGTATTTGAGTGGATGTCCTCTTCGTGGTAGAACTATTACCTAATTATCAATTAGCTACTTAATCTCCAACAGGTCTATTCTGCAGTGAGTGGTGAACAGGAGATTATAGTATTGTATTGTATTTTATTCAAGCTTTAAATTGGATAGACCACAATACACGGTCTGTAGGAGAGTCTAGTTGATCGGATTACCTCGTGTTTCTCTCCTATTTCTCGACTAATGTTCGTGTAAATCATTTTGTTTTTCAGAAAGCACAACCGAGTATATCTGTAAGTTCCCGTACGCAACATCTCCTGCCCACAGTAACGGCTCTTGTTCCAGTCGAATCTTTTTCTGATTTTGTTTTGAATGTTGAAATTGGAATGATGTCAGATAGTCGTAATCAATTGATTTTTATTACTGATGGATCTGGAAAACGTGCTTCCAGACTACAGAAGGTCGGTTTACCGACAATGAAATCTACCTATATGATTCTGGGTCTGTTCAAAATTGATCAGCTTTATTTACGTAGAAAGGTAATTGTCGTGAAGAAGACTACTATATATGTTNGTTCAATAAATGTTCCCAAAATTGTGGGGTATCGATCCCTGAAATTTAAACATTCGTAACAATGACCCGCACATGTGAAGTTGAATACCAGATCCATAATTCGTGTTTGTGATTTTATGATTGGTCGAATGCACAAGGATCTTTGGTGGTGCTTTCCGCTAAGGTTTCGGGGTTGAAAACAATTTATTTTTGAATGATAACATCGATTCAAACCTCTGGTGTTACTAGGATCAAAAGTCTTTTTCAGCGGTCAATTTTTGTTCTGCGGTGGGAAAAAAACGAGGAGAAAAATTTATCTAGTTCTGTTTTAAATCATTTGTAGCTTTCCAAATCACCGGAACGTTGTATCGAAAAGGAGTTGAAGTGAATTTAGGTAAACTGAGCGCAGCAGACAAGTGTGCTGCAGAAACACAGTTAGCCGACTTGGTAAGTTGAATTGTTTTTACATCAATGTTATCATGGTCTCAGTAAAATAGAGTGAAGTGATGAGAATTGGTCACATTTATTTTCTTAACGATTTGAGAATACAAGTGGCCATTTTGATTAACAAATAAATAAACAAACAAACAAACGAATCACGAGCTATTTTTCAATACCTTAATCGCTCTCGTCTGCCTAATTTTCTTTTCTTTTTACCTCACAGGCGTTCAGTGGCGATTTGCTTAGCGTGTTGTACAGGTACGCCACTAAGGACGTGATGGATTTCAAGTTTGACGGGGCACGGACCGGACGAACGTCGTTTACAGTAACATATCCAATGGAGTTCTTTACTAAGACGAAAATAGATCCGAATTGTGACTTTAAAACTGCTCTACAATTTGGTTTTTCGCATCCCGTCAAGACTGCGGGATATTACTTCGGCAGTGATGTGACAATCACGAGTAAGTCTAGAGTGCCCTAATTAGGATATTAGAGGGATTCTATGTCCCCATAGAATGCATATTTGTTTGTTCACAACAGAGGTCCCATGAAGTGACTGAGCGTGAACGCGGCGTGTAATTGATTTAAATCCGGTCTATCTCAGCGACCATGAGGCCATGGTGAAATGGAACTCTGACCTCAACGTTATTGGTTAAATAAACTCTAGTATCCAAATTGAATAAAAGTGAATTACAGGTGTACATTTGTAGCATTGCATAAGCATCAATACTTACCTGTGTGGTTTGCTTTTAACTGACCGTAGCAAGCGTCCAGAGGCGCGGCAAAATGATTTACCACTAAGCAGCATTACAATCCCTAGCAAGCTGTGAACCTAGCATTAGGTTGCATAACGCCTAAAGCTACCTTATTGAACAAAAAACACCGAGTTGCTTTAAACAATGCAAATTTGTTCTAACCATTCACAATCCGCCCTGAATGTTTCCGCAAATCTAACTTTTACTCTTCTGTAGAAGCACCTAAGTTCAAATAAGGAAGAACATTGTTCTTAAATGGTGATAAATCGATGTTCAAATACAAAGTAATTAGTTGATATATAATCAGGTTTTTATGTGTGTGGGGCCAGGCAATACTGTCGTTGTTTTGTCAGTCGGAGATAAATTCAATCCAGTTTGTTAACTTGAATAACATTATGTCGCTGTCTACTGCCATCTTCAGTACTATTTCTATGATTTTAACGCGATGTATCATCATTTTGCGTTACACAGTTATCTCAATCCAGCATTGATATTTCGACCTTTTATTCTTTTATCTGCTTAGCTGTTGTTCCTCCAATCGGTGAGTTCACTCACTCATTCACTCCCTGACTTGCAGTTGAAAAGAATATCATTTATCCGATACCCCTTCCACCGATCGAAAGCATCTACGAATTTCATGTGAATGTTATGCTTGCGTTTATCCACACCTTTGTACATAAGACTGGCTTGTATTAATTCGTAATCGCGCGTGCGCGCTAGCAAGAGAGAGAGAGAAATAGCCACGATCCCACATACATACATACACACAAAAAAGTCTGAGATTTGATGACTTTACACTAATGCAGTGTTTTCCTTTTTGTCCATTTTTCTGCACCCTTACAATTTAAGCCCCTCCTGCACTAAAAACCAATAGTAAGTCTATCGACCAATTCGAGATTGTATTCGACCTCACGTTTCCTTAGTAACAATCTTCTGGATGTTTCGAACTATTTCTCCATTTCCATTTTATCAAATACAGATATCGATTACAAAAATAAGCACTGAAAACAATGTTTCTTTTGCGTCTATTTACAATTCCGTGTAGCGTTCAAAATCACAATCCCGATGACATTTGGCGATAAACTGAACGCAACGACTTGCTACGCACCTGGAAAACCGTGTAGCGCATACAAAGGCAAATTATGCGACAATGTGAGTAGTTTTTGTTCCCGTGTTTATCGATCTCGTTTTGTATTGAGGAGATAGTCGAACACGAATAAGCTGTTAGTTGATTTTTCATGCCCAATCAGTTAGTTATGGGGTCGTTTCGTGCGAAGCGGGTGATGTGCTATTTAGGCCAAAATAGCAATGATATAACTAACTATGGTGCAATCTCGCGCTACTGCCACAACTTTATAAGGGTGCCAGCTAACAAAAATAGTAACTAATCTTTTTGACGTCGACCCTCTGTTCAGTTGGATTGGTGCAAAAATCTCTATGCCATGGCCGGTAGACCAAACCCCGCATAAACTACATCATGTAGAGAAGGCTTGTTTTTCGGTTGCAATACCCACGAGTTTGAGCAAGTCTTGATTGAAAGATACATCACTGAGTTAGTGCGTCCGTGTGGGATCGCATGTGCGAGAATCGGAGAGAACATTATCGACTGAAGTTGAACTCAAAGAACTTGTGATTTTCTTCTCCGTATTTTTTACTTCCCTTTGTTGAATACCTAATGATACACTGTTCAGGAGGTAGAAAGCGGCCATTCAAAGGGCTGCCAATCAACACACATAAAGAATGAGGAATGCAGGCGGTGGCAGTTGGATTTGAAAACGTATCCCCCGGGTTGATCCCCAGGCAGTTTCGACCATCTATGCGCACAATGGATCACCGATTAGTCTGTCACGATGACAATATACAGCAAGAGTAGCCATTCGTCACTACCCACCATCAATTTCGCAAGCCCATGTTACTGGGTGTTCGGACTCACCAAATAAACGAACCGCCTTTATACATGTTCTGCTCATGTGCTGCACAAAACATATTCCTCTATGTTCGCGTAACATGCTACCCGTTGTGCTCAACATCGCGTTATTGAAGGAAAGTGAGTTCAGGAGGAGGCAACATTTGTGTGTCGAGACAATGCAACGTCAGCAGGATAAAAATCAACGACATCATCCGTAAGAGTTATGACGTCATAGAGGAGAAGGGGAAATAGCGCAAACGTTTACCTAGCATAAGTGTAATCTTATTAATA